TCACTTTCTGAATTAATTGGAAGCGTTTTAATGGGGACTTATTAGGGCAACCTGATAACAAAGAGTTGCAGTAATCCAGGCTTGGAAGTAACAAATGCATGATTAGTTTTTCTGCATCTGTCTGTGACAGGATGTGGTCTGATTTTTGTAATAATATTACGTAAATGAAAGAAAGGCAGTCCTAAGAGATCTTCTTTATATTGGGAGTTAAATGACAAATCCTGATCAAAGATAACTCCAAGATTCCTGACAGTGGGGCTAGAGGCCAAGGTAATGCCATCTCGAGTAACATAATCTTTAGACATGAGGTCTCTAAGATTTTTGGGGCCAAGTACAAGAATTCGTAAAACCAATAAATTGAGCTATAAATTAACACAAAATAATCAGGCTTAAATTTATAGCAGCAGTGCTTTATTTATTAGATTTTTCTTATTTTTAATCAGAATTTTAAAAAGTTATAAAACTGTAATAAAAGTCTATTCTGGAAATTACAGTAATTATTGCTGTTTTTCACGGTAAAAACTTGTATTTTTACAGTTTACAATGCTTATAAGCTGATACATTAAACATTATTCTTATGGTTTTGTTATGAAAACTTTCAGAATATATAAAGATATCTGTCAATTATCTGTTAAAATTACCCAACAAATACTTTTTTTTAACTGTTGTCACTAATTTTACATAATTTAGAAAATGTATTAACAGTATTAACTTATTTCATTATAATTAATATCTGCGAAAAATACTTATTGCGAAATAAAACCTAACAGAATATTTTCACACAGTTTTCCAGGAGGAGTATTTTCTCGCCCATGAGCTGCAGCCGAGCATCACCGCGAGTTTAACATCCACTAACTGAATACCGCCTCGTCTGGCTGGATGGGAAGTGGACATGCCGGTTCCAGTTGATGCCCTGCTTTGAATCCATGAAAACACCCCCCCGTTCCTCACCTGTCCTCCCCTCGCCTCCCCTCTCCGCCTGTCCCATGCCATTTCCAGCACCCTCTGCAGGGTCACACAGATAACCCCTTGTTTCTGCAGTGGGCTTTAGTTTGAAGTGAATATGGAGGGTGAAAGCGTTTCCGCTGGAGTGTGGAGCAGCGGGGGGAAGAAAGCCCGGCCGGATGCTGCATGCTGGGACTTTTTTGGGAGGATTTAGAGGAGGTTTTTGGGTTGTTGGTTGAGGGCAGTCGTAGGATTTAGACCACAGCAGCTGATCATTTGGCGTTTAAGGGGTAGAAGTAACGTTGGAGCAGTTTCAGGATTTTGCTTGTACAGTATTTTGATCATTAGATTCAGAGTCGATGGAAGAAAATTTTGGTGTCAGAAGAGGTCAAGGGTCAGGCTTACATTCTGTGTTTGTATAACTTCTGATTTGCTGGAGAGGCTCTGGAGTTTAGCCTTTACCCTCTTCTGTTTTAACTTAAAGCTCCACCAATGAATAGGTTTTTCATATTGACAGTAGCTGAAATTAATTGATGTGTAAAGGCCTCCGCACACCAACCCGATTATCGGCCGTCGGACCGTCGTCGGACAGTCGCTTTGAGTCGGTGACTCGAATCGGTTCGGGTGTGTTCCCGTGCCGTCGTCAGTCGGGCGTCGGTCGTCGGCGTTCATTTTGGCCGATTCGACATGTAGAATCGGCTGATTTTGGTGGAGTGCTAGCCCTGACTAGCGAATCAGTGACGTGCACGAGAAAAACCGAAGTGACGATGGTAAAACATTACTACGCCAACGCCAGTATCACTTGTTATTATTAGCCATCGTATTTTTCGTTCAGCCGAGTAAGACATAAACGATCCTTCTGACTACTATCACATCTCTGATGAAAACAATGACTGACGACAGGCGTGCTCTGTGTTTACTAGGTCTACAGTGATCCGTCATTTCCGTGTTTCATATTTTTTTGGGCGACAACACAGATTAGCGCCGCCTGCTGGTTATGGGGACGTATTTATGCCTCGCGCACGCGCAGAACGTACGCTCCAGTCGGCGTCGGGTTTGGTGTGTTCGGTGAATTTTTTTGACCGACTTGAGGAGGACGGGAGCCGACTATGTCGGCCGTCGAGTTGGTGTGCGGAGGCCTTAAGGGGTCGCTTGTAGTGTCAAATCTATAGAAAATGATCTCCAACTTGGGAACTCTATGGAGCTGTTTAGCCTCTTTTACTTCCTAATTTTTGTTTCAAAGCACCTTTATTGTCTGATTCAGTCAGCAGGAAGTTGTTTGCTAGCATGTTAGACACAACCACTTTATAAGGTGATAATATATTGGATGTTGGGTTTTCTGTCTGCAAGTGGCCAAAACATTACTGGAGCTTTAAAGGTCCGGTGTGTAACATTGAGGAGGATCTATTGTCAGAATATAACATTTATACAAATGTTTTCATTAGTTAAAACCAAACTGACCAAACCGAACCATCGGTATGGTCACATGGTCGTATGGTTAGTCCCATCTGCCAACATGCTGGTGGGTTTACGACCTATACTGCAACCAGCCACCAGGGGTGATAGAGAGGTTTTGGCATCTCTTTTGGGGAGCTGTTATGTCATCATCTTTATATACAGTCAGTAGTGTGGATGGACATTTCTCTTTAAGAAACTGAAAATGCTAATGCGGACGCTTTCCCTCGTCAACAACTTTATTTAAAGCTTGTTCTTAATCATGTTCATTTAAACTCTTCTCTCTGCAGGTTGTAGTGACAATAGAGAGAAGAGGAGGATGTGGGTGGAGGCAGACTGAATGGAAAGCCCACAAACACTGAGGCCTTCATCCTCCATCAACTGTCGTTCACAACTTTTCACCTGAACCTGCGCAACCAGAGGCCTTCGCTGATCCAGAATGGCTGCTGCCGGCGTGCTGTTGCTGCTCGCAGTGACGTCCGTCTGCAGCGGGAGTCTGGTTGTGGTGAACTCGGGCGTGCAGGTCTCCAGGGGTCGGTCGGTGTTTATCACAGAGAAGGAGTTGAAGATCATCGTGGATCCAACTGCAGACTGTAAGGTGGAGGTGGTGATGAACGAACCTGTCACTCAGAGGGTGGGGAGGCTGACTCCACAGGTGAGGACCCCCCTGCTGTAGTTAAAAATGACCCACTAGTACAGTCAGTGGTGTTACTGTTGTTATTGTTTGCAGGTGTTTGACTGCAGCTTCCTGGAGGACGAGGTGAAATACATCCACAATGGCAGCCCTCAGCTGGACGAGGACACTGTGATGTTGAGAGTCTACAGGTCAGTTAGCAACAGTAAACTGTTAGCATTAGTGGCAGATGTAATTTGTGTAGATGCTTTGAACCGGTTTACATCCTAAGTCAAAGATAGAAGTTTCTCCACCAAACAGTCTCTCCTGCGGCATCCCACAAGGTTCCATCCTAGGTCCCTTTCTGTTCTCCACGAACATGCTTCTTCTTCACCGAATCATTCAAAAATATTGTAGTTCCTTCCACTGTTATGCCAATGACACAAAACTTTATCCTCCCCTGTCTTTAACAGCCTTGAGGGAATAAAGTATCCACTAATTTGTTGAATTAGTTGAATGAAAGCTAGTCTGAAATGGTTTTATTTTGTTTTGTGTGTGTTACAAAAGAAAAGGTTCATGTAGAAACAATCTGCTGATACTTTGGTCTAGGTGACAAGGCGTTCTTATTCTTTTTGTCTGCGACCAACCAACCAATGAAAAATGCATAAACTAAAACTCTTCCCATCAACTGACGGTTTAGTTGACTATTAGTGGGCCTAGCACACAGAAATGTACTTAAAAAATCTAACTTGCACTGCAGATAGAGATTTTAGAATCCAAGTTGTCCCGCGATTTTTTGTAGTATCTGTGTTGGATTATCACCTGTTTTAAAAGGAAAACTCTATTGAGTATTAAACACTTACTTGAAAGGTTTAATGTTGCTCGTTCATGGAGGATGGAACCTGAGTGTTTGAAATATTACATGTTCTAAGTTGTAAAAAACTGTCTTTTAACATGCCGTGTCCGTGTGGAGGTTCACGTCCTCGGACACCCTGGTGGAGACGGTGGTTCTTCCGGTGCGGGTGGTGGACTCGGGGCCTGCCGTGGTGGAGCTGGGCAGCGCCCCACTGGTGGTTCCACAGTTCTACGGTTTATCCAACGCTATCGACAGCTCCGTCCTCAATATCCGAACTACGGCCGACCTGGTTTGCATTGTAAGAATGTTGACCACGGATACCAGCGTCCCGGCTCTGGGTCAGCTGGTGAGGGAAGAGGACTCCACACAAAGAAAAGGTACGTCACAGCTCTTTAAACCACAGCCTTAGAAAACAAACTAAATAAAAATAATTAATTGATTATTAAAATAATTGCCAATTAACAACTACTCAAATAATCAACTAATTGTTGCAGCTCTAATAATAATAATGATACTTCTAAACTTTTCTCTACAGTACAATGAAACAACAAAGCTAAACAAAGAGAAACAGTCAAATGTGTGGAAATGATTAGAGAACAAACTAAAATAATATATAAAAACATTCAAGCAAAAGCGAAGTTAAATTATTTTTATTTAATATTTTAAACTAACACTAACTCTGAACGCAACAAAATGAAACAAAAAATAAACTTTCAAAATAATTTTCAATATATATATATAAAAATAAAAATGACAATAATAATAATAGACAAATAAAAACAGAAACATCAAATTCAAACATCCAACTAAATAAAGAATTAAAAAAGTTGTATGTATGTTTTGTGTGTGTTTTGAAGTTTGAACTCGTCTGTTTGTTGTCCTTCAGGCAGAGAGGCGGCGGCGGCCTGTCCGGGGAACAAACCCTGTCTTCACGACACCAAGACGGTTCCTTTCCTCAAGACCAGCTGCCAGGATTTCCTGAGCTCCGGTCTCCAGTACCAGCACCTCAGCCCTCCGTCGCCAGAGATCGACTACATTCCCATCAGGGTGGAGCTGAGGGAGCAGGGCACCAGGGCCCTGCTTGAGGTATGTCCACAGCTTAATGTGCACAAAATCAAACGAAGGATTGATTTTGATATTATTTGCTCCGTTTAGACTTCAGTAACTTTTAGAGATGTAGCAATGCTACTCAAAAGTGCTTTAATTGAACAAAGTTAATAAACTGCAGATTCAGTCGTATCCACATCGGATCTGGAAGTTTTCCAAACCAGATTAGCATCTCTGGCATTGGCAGTTGCGAGGTGACATCCCACTTTCATGCACTCTTTCTCAGCTCTGTGGATGTGGTAGGATGTGGAGCGTGAGATTCTGCATGGGTTTGAAAGGCCTCAAAAATCCTAAATCTTAAAATAAAATCATTTCCTTGTTAGCACATAGTGTCTTTATTACAAAGACCTGTCATTTCTAACACGTCTGATTGTCTATTCTTGGCCATTGCCTGCATACTCTTCAACACCACATATTACACTAAAGCTGTGGCAGTATGTGTTGATTTCTACCTGATATATGTTGTGTTAAAACATACATTTGTGCCCAAAAAGAAGCAGATTTGAGCTGTTGAGGCTCAACAACTTTATCTTTTTACCTCCACTTTCCCATCCCTTTACCCCGCTGTCAGACGGAGTCGGTGTGGTTGCCGGTTCTGATCCATGGTGCGATGCAGAACCAGCCACCCCAGGCCGCCTTCATGGCCTCCTTCATCCTCGAGGTGGACCAGTTCATCCTCACCCCGCTCACCACAGCCACGCTGGACGTCAAGGACCACGAGACGCCGCAGGAAAGGCTGGTCTTCAATGTGACCGTCCTGCCCGCCGAGGGCTACGTCACGCACCTGGATGACCACACGAAGCCCGTCACGTCCTTCACCTGGCTGGACCTCCATGAGATGAAGGTGGCCTACCAGCCACCCAACAGCAGCCAATCACATCGCAGGAACTACGAGGTACAGGAAGCATCTTCAATTATCTTTGTTGTAAAGTCAGCCTCTCAGTTTATGGTAAATAAATTACTCTCTTATTTTTAAAAAATTTTGTTATATAAAATTATTTATTAATTTATTTTAAGCGGAAATTCAGGTTCGGGTCGGTCGCTGTCTTAAAACTGCTTCTGTGATTCGTGCTCGGACTGTTTTTTGTGTGTTTCTATGTAGGGATGAGGGTCAAAGGATGTGACGCTTATGCTCCCGAGTGCCTTCTCTCTCCGCTTCCCTACACTGCCAACAGTGTGCACTGCTTAATGTTGTGTTATTTTACATGGATTTGTTTGTTAATTGACAGATATCTTGTATAATTATGGAAGTACAGAAACGTTGAATAAACGTTTTTTACCAGTGTATAAGCATTGATAAACTGTCAAAATACAGTTTTTAATCAGTAAAAACAGCAGTAATTACTGTCAAATTCTGATTAATATAGGAAAAATCTAATAGTAACAGCATTCTTTTGTAAATTTAAGCTTGATTATTTGTATTATAGTAGTGTTCGTCTGTATTTATAGCTCATTTCATTGGTTTTACAGCTTGAATATTTTTAATTATGTTTAAAAACTGTATTTTAATTACAGAAAACTGTTATTTTTACAGTGTAGGGTTAAATATTACATTTCCAGTAATATGTCTTGCTATATTCTGGTAATCGAAGGTGGAGTTTCAGGCTATAGACGGTTCCTATATGACCAGCCCGCCCATCATGGTACACATCTCCATCAGGGCAGCTGAAACAAACGCGCCCAGAGTCTCGTGGAACATGGGTAAGTAAAGACATTTCATTCATGTTTGACCTAAATGTTGAAAGGATTTTGCATTCAGATTTGTGTTCCTCCGTCTCTGATGTCTCAGGTTTGGACCTTCTGGAGGGTCAGTCCCGACCAATCACGTGGGAGGAGCTGCAGATAGTCGACAGCGACAACATTGATGCTGTCTACCTGGTGGCTGTGGACGGACCTCTTCATGGACACCTCAGTGTCAGAGGTGAGGTTAAAGGTCACTGGGTTCTACATGAATGACTTCACACAGCAGCTGCACTATAATTAACCATAATCTGTTGGCTAAAGTTCCCATGAAGTCACATTTATCTTGTGCTAGACGTCTCCTGTCCTCCAGTATCTGACCAACAAAGACATAAAGTCCTTTTCTCTTGGATCAGAGAAAATATTTCATGGTTTTCCCTCTGATGTCCTCCAGCTGCCCAGCTTCAACTGTTCAACACGCTAACTGCAGTTAGCGGATAACAGAACCGGGCTCAGCAGCCGGACCGGGATCTAACACAGCCTCCGAGACCGACAGGGAATAAACCTACAGCCCTGAGGTCATTTACAGAGTTTCCTGATGGGCTGATAATATCATCACTCTCCACCAGACTCCATAGACAGAAACACTAATTTTACCTCACAGAACCGTTGCCTTGGTCGGAATGTTTTTTTGTGTTATTTCTGTGTTTTGAACCTTTTTAAAACACCAAAAATACAGAAGGTTGAAAAAAAACTTTTCACTCTTGTAGTGACGTGTTGAGCATTTTGCTGAACGTGAATATTTACTTATTTGGGCTAAAACACAATCATGAGGGTCTCCATGAATCTGACTCCCCTGTATGGTTCAAATGTGGGTGTAAAGCCCGGAGCAGCTGGATCAAAGCAGGACAACAAGAAACATCACCTCAGCTCCTGATTGGACGCAGCACATAAAGTGTGTGAAGACTGACGATGGAGAGTAGCAAACTGCACATATGTCCGATTATTCACATGCAGAAAACAGATGAAAAACAACCGTGTTTGCCTTTAAACTGATCCTCTGTGAGTATACTTCGGCTCTTTAATCCCGTGCTGGTATTCCGACACTGCCCTGGGAATTCCCAGAGAACGTCATCTGGCCTTTTCCGCCCTTTTTCCTCCATGTGTTGCCCATCCGCCAGGGACCGTGGTGTGGCTGGGGAAGCATATGTCTAGTGGCCCTGCATGTGTTTCCTAATCAGGTGTAAAATGGGGCCGTGGCCACTTTGCCAGGGGCCGTGGCAGCGCGAGGGGCTGCCGCCGCTGCCTCCCTCTCTCCGTCCACGTCTGTCCCTTCCAGCCCAGCGCGCTGGGAGACAGCCTCTTTGTCTGAAACGGGGAGCGGGACTGAGCAGATTGGAGGGACTTATGCCATTTCATGCCGTCGTGCACAGGGAGCAGATGCACTGTCCCCAAACAGGTTTCAAGCTACCAGCTAGGAGGGGGGGTGAGGTGGCAGGAGCACGGGCGGCCCGAGGGGCTCAGGCGGGGAGTTAACCTTTCATGGCTGCTTTAGACGGAGAGTTTGTGTTTTGAACTGGCTCATTTCATCAAATCTGTGGTGTCATGGCAAACATATTTAACATCTTTCTCTAATTTAGACACTTTCACAAATAACCGCTAAATCAACCTTTTTCCTCAAGAGACATATTTTATGGATATTTCATATTAAATTCAAAACTGTAATTAAACCCAAACAGTGAACTCAGTAACTGCAGGAAGTTTGTGTAATGGGAATTTGGGGGTTGGCCCCACCCTCAGCCCGAAAAGCAGAAGAAAGAGAAACTAGTGTGAGCATAAATGACAACGTGGTAACAAACTCTCTGTTTCTCTTCCATTTTCTCGGTTACTCAGGTGACGAGTCGACCATCTGATAATATGATTGGTTGCCTGAAAATGAGCACCTGGAGCACCAAAAATATAAAATAACAGTCAACAACCAACCTAAATATACAGACATGTTCTCTAATTAAAAAAAAAATAACCCTAACCCGTTCAAGCACAGTGGGAAATTTGCGTTGGTTATTTTCTAGAGGGCAGATTGTTAGTGTCCAACCCTGTAGTGAGGAGATGAGGCCTACAGCATACAGCAGGTGTGTGGGCATATATTAAGATGTCTCTGGGAGGCCAACGAGGGCTTCTGCTGTCATTTTGTTTTTCTTGTTGAGTTGATTTAGCCTCAGTTGTTTAGCCTTATGTCATTTTTTCCCCTAGTTTTCTTGTCTTGTTCTTCTTGCACATTTCCTGGAAGCACCTGTAAATAAATGTCTACTAATGGGACCTTCAGCAAAGCCTCTTGAGTCTGCCTCCTACCTGACAAAAGGCCCTCTGGCAACGTTTATCTTACATAATAGATCCAAAAAATGTCATCCAAGGAACCCGCTGTCCAACGTGGGTTGAGTTGGTGTCATTAAGGTGTTTTATTTAATATCTAAACTCTGATGACCTGAACATAAGCTGTATTAGAACAATAACAAAGTATCAGGGAGAAGAAAACACTGAATAATACAAAACAGAAGACTATTAAGTCTGTATGATTGTTAAAAATCAAATAAAAAACATTAGAAAAGAGAGTATGTATCAAAAGTTCCTAAAAATATCAGAAAAACTCATCTCTGATCAATATTCACAGGAAATAATCTGCTCAAAATTCATCCAAATCTCCTGTTTTACACAAACTTCCTGCAGTTATTAAGTTCACTGTTTGGGTTCATTGTTGAGAAAAGGGAACCACTGGCCTCAGAAACCTTTTTAGAGATGACTTTCTCTGCTTTGTTCCTCTCTTGTCTCTTCTCTTCCATCTTTTTTCCGTCTCTCTTTCTACCATCAACCATCAAAACAAAAACACCATATATAACACAGCAGTGCAGCAGTTGGATGAAACTTTTGTCCCACTGGGCGAGTTTCCACCCAGCAGCACCTGCTCCAGCGTATCTCCTCCAGTTTGGACTCTTGTTTCTCTGCCGCTCTCGTTGAGTTGGAACAAAGCTGACAAAAGTTTTGGCTCCGCTCTGCACACATGTACCGGGGGGAGGGGGGATGCTCTGTAGGAAGCAGTTAGTGGATCCTCTGGTCTCTGAGGAGAGCGCCGCTGACCCTCCACGCTGCGACTCAGGGCCTGCAGCGTGGGGACAGTCACTGCAGGCTCTGTCCAACGCCTTCAGCCAAATGGATGTCTGCCTGTCCTGCACACACACACCCACACATACACACATACACACACACACAGTCCTCCCATCCCATTTCTCCCTTTATGGGCCTGTTGCCCAACGCCACCTTTGGGCCCAATTACCAAGTTGTTTCCATCAGTTGGACCAGTAGCCGGTTTCCCTCGGTAAAGTTGCTAATGAGGTTCGGGCTCGCGACCGTTCGTCTCTCAATCTGTCTGCTGACCTTGCCCTTCTGTCTCTCTGGCACGCGCAGGGAGACAGGAAACCTCCCCCCCATCCTCCGCTACATCTATCCTGGCAACCGGGCGGCCACCGGGAAGGACGCCACGTTTTACCCCACCGGTGTTCACAGCACAAACCCCAGCCAGCGCCTCGTGGTGCCTTCAGGCGCTAAGAGAAACTTGTTATTTCCAAGTGACAATGGGAGAAAAAAAACAGTGCATGTGTTGGAAGACGGTAATTGAATCAAAGTGCGAAGCTTTGGCTGGAAACGGAGCCGTCCTCCGACAACAACACACGTCTGCCAGTAGGCCGCCAGTCACGTGACGATGTTAGCGTTAGAGTTAGCATGGTGTACAGTGTGAGGAAGGGCCAGCCAGCAGCAGAGAGCTGACAGATGGACGCGGCCTACATTTCATCAATGTAGGACAGAGAAGTTTCTCATGTTCAGTCCAACTCTTACTGACGAATCAGCTGTTCAGATTTATTGATACTACAAACAGTCATAGGAAACTATTTTTATTTGTTTATTTTATTGTTTATTTGTACAGGGACCACTTTGTAGCATAAACAAACACAACACACCACAATATTTATAGCTAATTTGCATACATATAATACCTATATAAAATACATAAAACTACACAAGAGACTGTACAGAACACAAAATAACACAATTTCATTCAATTCAATTTCAGGTCCATTACTGACATCATTTAATCATTGTTTAGGTCTAAATTTGCTTCTCATTTAACTCAAATATAACTTATAACTTTTCATATTGTTGGTTGTATTTGATTTCTTATCTATTTTATATTTTATTCCTTCAATATAAATGTGTCTGTTGTGTTCTGTGTGTGTAGCATGAAAACTGATTTCTGGGATTCACCAAAGTTTTTCTTATTTTTGCTCTTTTGTTAGGGAAGAGAAAATGTTCCGTTTCACTGTCTATAAATAGTTTGTTCAACACAAAGAAACATTTTAGATTTGAGGAACATAAAAAAACAAAGTATATCATATAATTAGATTCGATTATAGTGATTGGATTATTAAATTAGTGGGCTAAAGAAACACTGTTGGTCCACTGCTTACCACAGTGGCCCTTTGCTGCATGTCTTCCCCCGTCTAGCTTCACATGTTCTATCAAAATAAAGGCATAAAAAGGCCGAAAAGTTCCCTAAAAATATCAGGAATCTCTGATACAATATTCACATTAAATAATCTGCTCGATCACCCAAAATCACCCAAACTCTGTATATTGTTATGTATTTAATGTAATCTGAAATATATCATGTAGTTGGGGGTCGTCAGGATAGTCAGTTATACTATATAGGAGACAGTTATAGAAAAGGGTCCCTGAAGTAAAAAGGTTGGGAACCACTGATAACACAGACAGACATAAGTAAGAGTTGAGTTGGATAGTTAAGAATGTTTGTTGCATCTGCAGTTAAAGAGACGATAATGTTGTTGTTTTCTTTGTTATTTGATCTAAATCTCGTCCGCAGGCGGGAAGGCGTTCATGTTCCGCGTGAGGGACCTGAGGGAGGGTGCAGTCGTCTACCATCACTCTGATAGCGACACCACCCGAGATCACATCGTCTTCCGCATCAGCGACGGCCGCCACAGCACCCGCCACAAGTTCCCCATCAACATCCTGCCCAAAGACGACTCGCCGCCGTTCCTCATCAACAACGTGGCGGTGGAGGTGCAGGAGGGCGCCGCCGTGAGGCTGGAGGAGTTCACGCTGTCAGCCTCCGACCTGGACTCCAGCGACGACTACATCCTCTACCAGATCGTCTCCAGCCCGCGGGCGGGGAAGCTGGTCAGGAAGTCCTCCTCCCACGAACCAGGTGAGGGGGTTAAAAATAAACACAAAGGTCAAAGGTCATTACTGTGGTTAGAAAATACAAATAAAGGATGACTGCAGGTCCTAAAAGTCTAATTTTGTAAATATCTGCTATTTTAATTGAATATTTCTTAATTACAACCTGTAGAGATTATCAGTTTGAGAAATTTCCTTAGCCACAAAAAGATGTTTCCAACATTATGTAACAAATATTCCATAAAACACATAATTATATGCATATTTATTATTTTGTCATGTCCCCTGATCAATCACAACAATTAAAGCAAATTCAACCAACCTCTATTATTCCTGCGACCTTCAATCACCGCAACCCCCCCCCTGGTAAATTGTTAAACAAACGCTGAGTCATGATTCCCTTGTTTCTCACTGGAACAAAGCGATATTTAATGAATTATATCAATTTAAGATTGTCCTAGTTGACTAGTAGTTGTTAATTTAAGCCAACACTCGACTGATTGTCCGTTTATAATATTAATTTAATTATTTAAATATGTATATACATATAGTAATTTTATTAATATTTCCATGTATTTCAAATTAACTGGAAAAACTCTATAAAACTTACTGATCTCTGGGCTGTAAATGTCCCTGCAGGAGCTCCAGTGGACAGTTTCCTGCAGAGAGACCTGATCCAGGGTCAGATCTACTACCAGCACTCAGGAGAGGAACTGTTTGAAGACTCCTTCGACTTCACGCTGTCCGACAGCCACCAGCCGCCCAACCTCTCCCAGACATACGTGAGTCACAGCGAGATTTCCCATCTGGCCTGGACGCAGCGGACTGTCTGAGACCCCTTCCTGTCACACTAACCCCTCTCCTCCCTGTGGATCCAGACCGTGGTGGTCCATGTTTTCCCGGTGAAGGACCAGCTGCCAGTGGAAGTCCCCGGCAGTGTTCGCTCGCTGACGGTGAAAGAGACGGAGGTGGTTTACGTCACTCAGGCTCACCTCCACTTCACCGACAGAGAGCATCCAGACACAGACCTGACCTACGTCATCACACAGCCCTGCTTCAGCCCACTGCATCCTGGGTAAGAAACGGATAGCCTAGATTAGTTCAAGGACTGGGTGCTAACATGGCTCAATCAAAATTAAGCTTCTAACTCCTCTAAAGCTGTTACACTTTTATTAAGTGCCCTGAAATAAAATTGAATCTAATTTGTATTGTTTTAATTTCCAGGCTGATGGACGCAGGACGTCTGTTCTACACCGACAGCACCAACGCCATGAAGAAAGACCACATGGTGCCGGTCTTAAAGTCCTTTACACAGGTTGGAAATACAGATTTACTGCTTCTTGTTTAATGAATCACTGACTTTATACATGCACACACATGCTTGATTGCTTGCCTACTCTCTGGAGGAAGGTTGTACGAGTCGAAACACGTTTGATTGATGCTGGACCAATTCAAACTACAAAGAGACACAGCTTCCGGATTACTGTGATCCGAAACTAAGGTCCAGTCTGTAACATTTAGGATCCATTATATTCAGAGATGGAATATAACATTCATAAGTATGTTTTTATTAGTGTATAATTCGTTAAATATAGGAATGTTTTACCGCCATGTTTCTACAGTACAGAACAGACAAACCAAACACTGGCCCTGGATAGGACCAGACACGAGTGGTGTTTAATGAGCTTTTTCGTGATTAAAAGCATCCTGAAATAAGTATTTTATGGACACAAGCTCCTCCCCACTTACTCGGGTTCCTCTCAGATGACCAGAAGATAGAAAAGGAATATATATTTGATTTGTGACCTGGAAGCATTTATGTAAATAATTTACGTCAAAAGGTCAAGTGATAAGCTGGGAGAGCCCTCTGACATGCTGTATAGTTTCCACAGTCGGTTCCTAAGGCTTTACTAGCTGGAAACTAAATCATCTGTAGTTTTAAAGTACTTAAGAAAAGTATTTGAGTAAATAGTTCCTCCTTCCTGTGCTCTCCCAGCATGCAGTGAACCACATGAAAGTGGCCTTCATGCCTCCTGTGGAGGACATCGGCCCGGAGCCGCTGTTCATCCAGTTCGTCTTCTCCATCAGCGACCACCACGGCGGCACCGTCTCCAGCCTCCTCTTTAACATCACAGTCACTCCCGTGGACGACCAGGCACCAGAGGTCAGAGGTCAAACTGAGCTTCTTGTTACAATGAATACAGTTTTGATGCCTTTTTTCACAGCGATCCATCAAAGTGAACGTTCATTAAGTTTATGTGAATGTTATGAAATTATTTTGTCAGCATGCAAGCACTCGTCTCTTACATTTGAATATAGGATTGTTCCGATACCAATACCAATATTTTGGAAATGCCTCCAGTGCAGCCTAAAATACTACATCGGGTATTAGCAAGTTTGCGAGTTTACGATATAACATCATTTATTAGCCACCAATCTAACCAATCTAACCAAAGAAGGCAACAAGTACGAGCCGTTAGCTGTCAACTAGATGAAAAAAGAGTTCTATGGCCTTCTTACGTACTTGTATCGGATCAAAACTGAGCTGAGTTCAGGTATCAGAATCGGAATCAGGAAGTAAAAAATGGTATCAGAACATCTCAATTTGAATATCCAGATTTTGGACCCATGATCCTCTGTGTGGTTGTCAGGCCTACACCAACCTGCTGAGGGTGGAGGAGGGCGGCGGGGGCTTTGTGACAGAGGAGCACCTCCTGGTTCGGGACCGGGACAGCCGGGAGGAGGTACTGAGGGTGGAGGTTCGGAGGACGGCTCGCCGTGGCCGGCTGGAGCTACAGGGCCGAACGCTGCTGCAGGGAGACAGATTCACTCTGCAGGACCTGAGAGGACTCCGACTCAGGTCAGACACAGTGTGGTAGACTGGTACTTCTGGTTAAGGATGGAGATGTGGTTGTTCACCAAGCAGAAAGGTTAATGAAGTGTTTTAGTTGCCTAACCTGAACCATACTGTTGCAACCATCGGTCCTGGATGTTAAAAAGCACATCATTGGACCTAAGCAGTGCAGGGCCCGTTTGCTTGGCCCCCCAGAACCGCTCATCAGATCGACATTGCTCTTGACACAGCGCTTTCTTGGGTCCTCAGCTATACTCCCACCAAGTGTGAAGATGATTCAAAGAACTGTTCTTGAGATACACGAAGGACCTTTATAGTTTCTGATGATGCCGCTACAGAACCACCAAATATTGTTGAAATAGCACATAGCGTTAAGGACATATGACAGTTTTTGTAAAACAAGCCTTTACAGCATTTGAGCAGAAATTAGAAAATAACTTTTCCTTTTTCTCTTTGAAACGCAGTAAATATATAAAAATAAATGTGTTTTCTTTGGTTTCCTCCACCACACCACCGGCTCAGACAATACAGTTAGACCAGATTCAGTCTCCGGTGTCTCTCTCAGACTTTGGAGGGGAAAAAATGAAAATAAGATCCAGGTTTTAATGAACAGAACTGTTAAACAGCTCAGTGATGTAACACAAAACGGATGTTCTTGTTCTGATGGTTTGCAGGATCACTGACTGCAGTTACACGGAGACCAAACATGATCAAAGCTGTGTGAATATTACAGAGAGCGATCACTAATTAGGTGGTTCCATACTTCAGTTACGTGATTACACGCCGCACACATGTAAACGCCGACCCACATGTGTTTGATTCCTCTGTAAACTGTTAGTCTGCACCTTTCTGACCGGGCTTTATGGGATTTTGTGTTTACAGCGTCCATGTCACCACGCTAACTGATCCAGCAGCTCAACCCACAGTAACATAAACTCAAACCTCAGGAGGAAATAATGCATTCAATCAGGCCTGTGATTCGGAAGTGGCCGTTTTAATGTAGGTGTACGAGCATTTAGGTGGTCTCTGTGAGTTTATGTTTGTACCCACAAATCTTCTGAGAGTTTTGGTCTCCGTCTTCAGGCTCTTTTCTCTGGCATACAGCCTCAGTTCACTCCAAAAAACCTCAAAATCTGTCTCTGAAGAGAACCATAACAGTCCACAGAAACAGAAATCAGAGCTGTTTGCTTCCACATATTTATGCGTTTCTTACAAAAACAGGCAGTTACAACAAGTCCTTTCTTCAGTCTGTCTGTGAGGTTGTGTTCACTCGGACCCCCGTTCGGTACGCTAACAGCAGCTACATTAACAGTTAGCTAACAGCAGAAAATGATTGGTTGGAACTGGTTGGTTCATGTTAATGATGTCAATGTGCTTCTACCACTGAGAAATGCTGATTGAGCGTGTGGCGACTCTTTGTGTCGCAGGTACATCCACGATGACTCCGAGACCACGGAGGACGAAGTGGCTCTGAAGGTGACGGACGGTCTGAACTCAGTAGATGTGGTGCTGCTGATACAGGTGAGTGACGGGACATCATCAATCAGCATCCTGTCTCTACATCAGAGCGCCCGTTTATATCTGAAGAGGGCTGGTTGGGATATTTTATACCCCGTCACTTTGTTGTTTTTAACCATTCTTAAGGTTCATTTTATTGATGTTTGAGTTGGTATTAGGATTATATGTATTAGTGTCTTCAATTGAGGCATCAGAAACATTATTGAAACTCAACACCTTCTTCAAAATCTTAAAGTCTTAGCCCTCGTAGACTTTTATTGTGAAAAGTAAACAGGAAGTGTTGAGTTTTGCTGACAGTAGTCTGATTTCCTGTCTTTGGTCCACGTCCTCAGGTGCTGCCGATGAACGACGAACCCCCCCAGCTGGGCGGCGGTCTGCGGGGGGAGCTGAGCTGCGAGGAGGGGGGGCGGGTCCAGGTAACGGTGGACTACCTGTCAGCCACAGACCGGGACAGCGACGACTCCAGGCTGACCTACATGCTGGCCCGGAGTCCGGGCAGAGGGGAGCTGCAGAGAGCTGGACTGACCGTGGACAAGTTCTCCCAGCAGGACCTGCTGCAGGGACTCATCTACTATGTCCACACAGGTGAGAGGCATCATGGGAAACGATGCTGTGTTCATGGCAGGTGGGAAAAATGACACTTGGATCATTATGTGGGAGTGTTTTTGCTCCCAGATGCCTGTACTATATTTAATAATGATTCACCAGGTTCAAAAACAAGGTATGTTTAGCATTTTTTATTTTATTTATTCAATAACAACAACTTTCTCTTGATGATTGAAAGCACTAACAAGTGACCTAATCAAGTCAAGTCAATTATTTGCTACCTAGTTACATAATTTTAGCAAAAATAACTAATAATTAGTTGAATTATCAATGTGTTATGACAAAAAAAACAATAGTTAGCTAGTTAAGATACGAGGAATCACTCACAATAACTACGTTTCAATAAATATTAAAAATCTTCGTAAATAAACAGCTCAGTTTTTGCTTTCTGTGTCCATGTTTGTGTTCAGGAGGAGAGATCGGATCCGAGCCCGCGTTCGACAGCGTCACCCTCATCATCTCAGACGGCGAGGCCGGGGGGACAGAAGGCTGTTGCCATGGAGACGCCCCGCCCCCACCCGTACCACTCCACGGCACACTTCCTGTGTACGACCTCAACATCACCGTTCTTCCTGTCAACAACAAAGTGCCCACCGTCACTCTGGGTAACAGACTTTTTACTAATTTATCTTCCTCACTTGTTTCATGGATGAGGGTCAAAGGTTGTGACCTTTATGCTCCAGAGAGCCTTCTCTCTCCACAACACAGAGTCCACCACACAGGCACTTCCATACGAGTGCAACAGTGGCACACTAGCTAACGTTAGCTTATAAATGGATCACTCAACGATTACAACAATCCGAACCCACCACAACCAGATCCACACAAAGTCCACACACAGAGTCCAACCAGAGTCACACACAGAGTCCAACAAGAGTCACACAGAGTCCAACACAGGATCAAACAGAGTCCACAACACGAGTCCACAACAAGAAGTCCCCAGACTCCAACACAAAGTCCACAACACAGGTCACCAACACAGAGTCCAACAGGTCAACACAGAATAGTCCACACACAGAGTCTTGAACAGAGTCTACAGAGTCAAACCATTCACAACCAGAGTACCGAACAGAGTCCAACAAAGAGTCAACACGATCCATCACAGATCCACAACACAGAGTCAACCGGGTCCAATACAAAGATCCACAACCACAGACTCCAAACACAAAGTACACAACACAAGAGTCCACAACACAGAGTCCAAAACAGTCCAAAAACAGAGTCCACAAAAGTCCCAACACAGATTCGACCAGAGTCTTAACACAGGTCCAACAAAGTCACACACAGATGCGGACACAAGAGTCAAACAGAGCCAACACAGAGTCCACAACACGATCCAAAGTCAAGCTAAATTACTGCAAAGCTTGTGGAACATATTCTCTGATTTGCTGCGGGGAAGTCACCTTTAATACTTTAACCAGTATGACCTGAAAGAGGTATTAAATGTCATTCAATGTTGAATTAAAAAGGTCTTAAAAAGTCTTATATTTGACTTATGTTGACCTGTATTTGTAATGATAACACAGCACTCAGCAGTAACTAAGACCTGAGCTCTAATAAACATTTTCCAGTTTCACAGAAAACGTCTCAATAAGAATCCGATGGGATTGTGTTTGTCCCTGCTGACAATCCTCTTAATGCAGCGGAGCAGCTCTGACCCCGACGCCACGCCGTCACCTATCAGTCCAACGCACACTGTGCACTGGGAGGGTGGGGGGTGGGGGGGGTAACATAAATCACATTTATAAACACACACACACACACACACACACACACACTCTCCTGGGGAGGGTGATAGCTCTCGCCGGAGTCGGAGCCAAGAAGAGGGATTGGAGGAGCTCTGTGGTTATCAATGGAGACCAGTGACCACTGGGACTCACACTGGGAGATGGTGTGTGTGTGTGTGTATGTGTGACATTGCACTGGTTGTGTTTTCACACTGCAAAAAATCTGTGATAGCTCTAAAAAAATCTTAATTTGTTAGAAGATCAGGCAGTGCTGATCAGATATGGATCCAGATGTTACTGCGTTGATTATTTCTCTCATGTCACAAACATATTTTAGTGAACTGCAGTCCCCGAACTGGACCAAGAAAGGTGTCAGTACCCCAAACATTCCCCTTTTCCCATTTTCAGTGCTGTTTTCATGGCGTTAAGTTGTGTGTTGGCTAATTTAACTGTGAGTGGATATGTTAGTTAGCTGACATTCACTGGAGAAGCTTTTATTTAGGAGTACTTCACTAGCATTGCTTTACGCAGGGTTTTAGAAATACAGAGATCCAAAAAACAGACATTATAACTGTATATATATATGACAGTAGGACAATAATAATATGAATAATAATTCCACATGAAACAGTAAGCAAAGAGCTGTTTGCAACAGAAACTCTGTAAATGTTCTCGGTGGTGTAACTTTATTCCCTGTCAGTCTCAGAGGCTGTGTTCGATCCCGGTCCGGCTGCTGAGTCCGGTTCTGTCACTCGCTAACAGTTAGCAGCAGTTAACAGTTAGCTACTTTAGCAAAAGATATCTGTCCACCAGGAAACATCTGTAATCCTCTCCTTCCAACGCAACAATATTTATATTGAGTTAAACTTTGAGTTCAATCGCCGACCAAAATAATGTTTTTTTGCAGTGTGAGAGTCTCATTGTTTGCACATTGCATTGTGGGTGATTTTTTTGGCATTTGTTTGTTGTTCTCAGCATGTCGGCCAGGCTAACGAGGTTGGCACTGACGTGTTTAAAGTGAAATCTGCCCATTGTGTGCTGGTATTACACACACACACGGTTGGTAGTGTGTGTGTGTGTGTGTGTGTCCCAGGAGACGGTGGACAATGAACGTCTTTACGAAACAAAAGCAGAAAGAAGCGCGTCCCTCGTTCACAATAGGCCGACGTGTACTAACCGCCTCGCTGGCCGGATTACGGCGGCGCAGGATAACTCTCTAATCCTTGCCAGCATATCTCACCATTCATTCGCCGCCGAGCAGCGCCGGGTTTTGGGGGGTTTGAGGTTGGAGGGGGGGCGGGTGTATGTATGTGGTGTTTCTTGGTCTAATTAATTAGCAGTGATCAAAGACGCAGAGTAAGAGCATTAACGCAGCCAAACAAGAGGAATCCGGCTTTACCTTGTTTTTTATTTTAGAGGGACGCTAGTTTATCAGCAAGATCCAGGAC